AGCCTGTCCACGCTTATTACCGCCATCGTCAGCAAAGAAACTCCACATAATGCTACGCCTGTAATGGAAGCTGCTTCTGCGTAATGACAAAGGCTCAAGTGTTCGTGAACCGCGGACATCAAATAAGTAACACGGAGAGGCTGAGCAACAAGACCAACCAACAGGTCAGTTGTTGCCAGACAGCGATACAAGAGTTTAGACGGCGGATGAAGGGGAGATTCTTTGTGAAGGGCAACAAGGATAAGAGAATTACCAAGAAATGTTGTGATGGCCAGGAAAATGTTGACTGCTGCAAAAAAAACTGATGCTGATTGAAGCCCACCTATCAAAGAGGGGGAGCATTGCAGTCCTTCGAAAGTTTTTGTCTTTGTTCCACCTCTGGTGAAATTTGTTGTCGAATAATTCTGCATTCGTTTCCTCTGTTCTTGCAGCGAGAAATATTTCGTCTAAACAGGACACGCCAAACTATGATAACTGAAACCTTTCACAAAGACTTCCTCCCTCGCGTTTAATCATTTAAAATGCATCAGAAATTTGCAGCTGTGGGATGCCTCAGGTATGAAACTGATTCTGGTTGAAGCCCAACCAACAAAGAGGAGAGCATAGCGATTCTTCAATTGTTTTCGTCTGTGTTCCAACTCTTCTGAAATTTGTTGTAGGTTATCTAAGATTGCAACGAGTAATATGTCGTCTAAACAGCCCACATCCAGCCACGATCAATTACACCTCATACTTCAATAATGATATTTATACACCCTGAGAATTCTTCATCAGTGTTTACTCGTTTAAAATACGTCAGAAAATTGTCTGTTGTGTCCAAAAATTGAACCTTTGAGGTGCCTCAGGTATGAAATGGAAATAAGTAGAAAATGGAGAGACATCTGTGGTATCATTCTTTTAAAAGAACGACGAACAATCTCCTTTTATCTAGATCAACTTTCACTGATAGGGTGCTAACTTGGTGTCCATATTATTCGTGTGAAGTTCAGACTTGTATCATTAGTAGCCATGAAAAATTGGAAATAATAATTTCAAGCTGGCGCGATTTTTTTTCGTCTTAGAGAAGTGCGATTTGAGACAATCTGCGAATGCATCAAACAATTAAAATTAAAATTTTGGTCACAGATGTAAACGTATTTTTAAATGTTTGAATCAATTTGTAATGACAGGCTTTTTCTTTCCGTTTTCGTCCCCGGACTGATATTAAAAACAAAACCGTACCAAGATGTTAGGCCGCGTGCCATCGATTTTTCAAACTCGTTCTCTACCAGCTTTTTCACTTTCGTTAGGAAAGTTATGATGATTTTTTTAACAGAAACTGTTTTGTCTAATTTGCCTATTTCGCCCTATGATGTCATTTCCTTTCTTCATCCTCTTTGGTCCACAAGATAAGAAAAATGGGCGCTAACTGAAAATAGAGGAGGCGGAGAAACCATTGTTTTGCACCAGCCATGATGGCCCTACGCGCTCGGTATCTTTTAATCCCAGAGTTCCATCGGGTACCGACAAAACGAGAAACAAAACAGAAGAAAAGCAGGAAATTACTTTCTGAAACAATTTTTCGCTGTTTCTTTTACGTTCTGTATTTGTTCTCCTCCTTTCGCCAAAAATTTTAAAGTGATTGTCCTGCAAAAATTATATAAGAAAGTTCGCCCAAATTTTTCTCTGCCAACGCTTTCATGTATACAGCAGTGACTGAATTCTTCATGTCGTAATTCCCCTGAGCGATTGGCAATTTTCCTCCGATAACCAGAGTTATATGACTGTGCTAAAGTGAACATGATAATTTATTGATCGAGAGGGAAAATGAAGGAATGGATACTTAAAAACTATCAACACTCGATAAAAATATTTAACAATTATTTGCCGAAGATGAAGTGAATAATATTATTATTGAATAATTCCCGAGACGAAGTCGAGTTAAAAACTACACCTTGTTAAACCTACATAAACAACATTTATTATTTATGAACCTACAATCACTCTTGGTTGCGAGTTAAGTAACTCCCGCGTATCTTTCAAGCTCTCCAAACTTCCTGCGTTTATCGTATATTTAATGACCGCACAGTGACACACGAAACAACTGTTAAAAATACCCTGTCAAAGATTAGGAAAAATTAGTAAGCCACCACAGATTCGCCGCCTCGTCTTAGGTTGGAAAATATTTCGTTTTTGCAAAATAATTACTCTCTATAGATTCAATATTTTATTCCGGCTTCAACTTAGTCATTTCATTTACCAACGGAGGATTAGCTGACAGAAAAATCAGACGAAAGACTTAATCGCTGAAGATGCGTCAATCCCTGCTTGAACAAGAGTTCTTTCCCAGGAAATTTCCTTTCTGATCCTCTATGATAATTCAGTACCTTGATAATTAAACAAGAACATGTTCGTCGCAACCAGCTGTTGATTTCAGTAAATAAAGTTTCAGTTTAATTTCAAATTAGCACTGAAAGTGAATTCCCTTGACAAACACAAAGACATGGGCTAAATTTTTTGTTTTACAATACGATAAGGGCTTCCTAAGTCTTAAAAGACCCATTTTGTCACTTCTTTAATGGGTGAAATAAACATGTCGTTTTTAGGGCGATAATTAGATGATATGATATTGAAGCAAAGTCTGAGCTTATACATAGCCTTGAAAACGACTCAATGAAAAAAAAATTGTGGAACTTAGGGACAGCGGTTAATCACTTGGAAATGGAGGAAATAAAATCCGTGAAACTCAGAGACAACCTAAAGATACATAAGCGACAAACTGGACATATGGTGACCTCTATACAAATGATACGAAACTTGTTTTTCGCCGTTGCCAATATAATTTCAGAACATCAATCGATTTGTAAAAAATTCTGTAAAAAACAGAGATGGTCAATTTTATTCCGTTTACTTTCGTAACCTTCAGTTAAATACACAAGTAACAAAGATTTCTTCTCATGAGCTTTACGAATATTTTTCTGATCGCAAAACAAACAAATTCATGACTAAAACTAGACCGCCTCTTTTAGCAATATGGCGTCAACATCAACGTCAAGCGCTTTCTTTTAATCATAGGAAAACTAGTTGAAATAGTTTTATCGTAACACACAACAATGACTTACTCATTTAAAATGCATTAGGAAATTTTATATTGGGTCAAAAAAATTTTTTTTTTTCTCGGGAACCTTTGGGTGCCTCAGTTATGAAATAGCAACTAAAAGCAAATATAGAAACATCTGTTATTTCAGTGTTTTTACAGTGCGGCAAAGAGTCGCTCTTTATCAGAATCAAATTCCATTATAATAGGATGCTAATCAAGGGTCCATATCTTTCGTGTGAAGTTAAGACTTGAATTATTATCAGCTACGGAAAGCTAAAAATGCAAAAGCTCAAGCCGGCGATGTCAGTTGTTGTAGGAGACAAATTGAATTCGTGACAATCCCCGAATGTACTACGTAGACAACACAACTATTCAAAATTAATGTACGGCCACACATACAAACTTATTTCAAAATATTTGAAATTAACTGTGTATCTAATTGCGCTTTGAAGCTTTTTTTCTCTCCGTTTCGTATCCTACTAGAACTAATAACAAAATAGTAACAAAATCAAGTTGTCAAACCAGCAAACCATTTTCTGCAACTGTAAAATGAAAGTTATTCAGTTTTTGTTCGTGCGATTCTCTTAGGCAATTAGCGACTCTTCTTTGGTGATGACAATTAGTTACAGGATAATTTATTAATCGAGATGGAAAATGAAGGGATGGGCGGTCGAAGCTTATCAGCAGTTGATAAAAAATTTGCAATTGTTCCAGGAGAGGCTTCGTCTTTACCAACCCTGACCCATATTTCAAACTCTCTAAAACTGCCACGTGCTTTTTATCGCACACTGAGGAACGAATAAGTTGTTAAGAAGACACCTGCTTGCCAAGACAGATTCGGACTTGTGTTGGGCCTCGTTTACATGACTGCCTTTCTTTCGGCTTTATACATATATATAAATACCTGTTTTTCTAAAAACCTTTCAAATTTGAAAATATATATCGAACAAATATATCTTTTCGTTGCTCATCAAAAAGAGACACTTTGTGATGAGAAAAGAAAATATATATATAGACTATTTAATAAAATTTTTCAAATAGCAACGTTTTCGAAAATGGGTTTATATATATATTTTTTATATTAACTTTAGATCCATTGTTTTATTTTCGGACGGGAAAATTGCTGATAGATAAACCAACAACTCATCCAATTCTTTAATACAGAGTAGGAGTTTTATTCAGGAAATTTTAATTCCTCTGAATAGCGACTGCAGCTGATCGAACCACTAACGCGTTTGGGTGGGCTGTGACAAGTTTCTAATCTGAATCAGTGAATTTGAATTCAAGTACAAATTAGCACTAAAAGGTAACTTCTTTGACAAACAAATAGATTAATAATACCTTTTTTAAATGATAAAATAAACAGTATATTAAGATAAGATGTCATTTAAGGGCCGATTATTAAATTGAAATATTCTCCCTTTATTGAAGACAATACTAAGCAATTACGGGGAAAAGTTAGCCGATGTGACCCTATGATATAATATCCTTTCTTCCTACGTCTGGTTAGTGAGATAATAAAGGTGTTTTTGTATAAAGAAAGCTCTCGTGTAAACGGCAGGTAACTTTGTGATGCTTTGGGGCAATTTTCAAAATTCTACTTTGATTGCAACGGTTACATATTAATACTGAAGTGAAGAAAACAATTTATATAAGTGGTGGTCCAAAATCAATGGACGTATGCCAAGGAATTATCAAAATTCGCCTCACAGATCTTCAATTCTACCTTCATCAGCAACATTTACTTCAGACTCCCTCACTAGCGTTTACTCATTGAAAAGACTATTGACAAAAGCTCGACGCACAACGATTCTACTGAACTTCTTATTTCTTCCGCTTAATCAATAATATTTTTGACGAGCGTTCCCTAATAATAATCGTGACTTAATGAAAGTCTTACAAAACCAAACCGAGGAGGAGGTAACGCTACGGACAGCAAAGTGCTTCTCTGATTGTCTGTTTTACTGCTTGTCTTACTTCACTAATTTTCCAGTAGTAAAGAACGGACATTCAAGTTAAAGTAAAGTAAGACAACTGATGTTCTCCATATAACGACTAGGTGTGATTGATATGTTTTACTATAGATTGGTGCGCAACAAACAACTAACGCTAACTGCACCCACAGTGCACTGTACACAGTCCCTCTGTATCGCGCCGACGGACTAGCGACTGCATCTTAACCAGTAAACAGTGTGTGTTAATTAAGATATGAAGCACGCAGGAAGGTGAGGAGACATTATCCAGCCATGACACCCTCAGCCTCGTTTTGAGTACGAAATTTCATCAAATACTAAATTATTTATTTCGTAACATATTTACTTTTCTTTCGACTGTACGTTATTTATTTTAACTTTTAATTCGTTATTTTATTCACCGATGGGGAAATAACGGAGAAGCAAACCAAACGAGCGCTTTCATTGATAAAAAAAAATGCAACAACTTATTTGTTTCTTGTTAAGAAGTTCTTTTTCCGCCAATTCTCCCTCCCATTTATCTCCATTTTAATTATTCCGAATAGCGACTGCAGCTTGACTAGTAGACAGTAATAAATGGGCAACACGGCGGTCAAATGATTACGCATGCGTTCATAGATAGGTAATTTGCCTTTGTAAACAATAAGAATCTAAATGATGCGTAGTTTTTCTCAGTTTCTTGATAAATTTCAAAGTTTCTACGGCCCTAGACTTACACATACTGTTGTTTTAGACTTGACCCATGTTGTGCTATTTTGCACTTTCGTACTTTCTTTTACACTTTGCTTGGCGGCGTGATGAAGTCGTAAGCTTGGCTGTGCTGGCAAAGGTAGAAGAAAGGTTCTGTAATTTGCCTTCATCGCCGGAACAAGGTGTCTGCGTTAAAAATAACTTGAGATATCTCACTATAAAATAATACCAATATTTAAGCTTTCTCCGAAATCCCTCTTTCAATGTGTTACGCATTCAATTTGGAATAGTTAGGAATTTAACCTTTCCTTCTTCACTTCCGCTATTAGCCGTGTACCTCAATCAGTAAAATTTATCTCAAGTACAAATTAGCACTAAAGTCATATTCCTTGGCAAACATCAGCTATATTACTGTTTTCAAAACAATAAAGGAACTCGATTGCGACTTTTTTTTTAAAGAAAAAGAACTAAGCAGTATATTTAGATATACTGTTATTTTAGGCCCGATAATGAATTTTGGTCAATCCTGAATTCCATAAAACTTTGTGAAACGACTTGAAAGAAATATAGGGGAAAGTTTAGGACAGTTAATCGCTCGGAAAATGGTAAAAATAGAATCAAATCACTTGGAGACAACTGAAAAATACACCATGAACAAACTGGAAATAAAGCAACCCTTTCTACGTGATATTTTTAAAAGTCGATATATTTTTTTTTCATTCAATATTCCTTTTTCCCTTTAGCAAATAATTTCAGCAAAACGGTGAACCTGAAAGAGAACTTTATACTAACCGTTCTTGCTTCAATTTTGTTCCTTACACTTTCTTATAATAACAAACGTGAGTATTATCCTGCGCGCGCATATCTTTTCTTAGATTATGAATTGATCTAATCATGATAATGTGAGGTAGCACTAAAACTATTTTTATAAATTTATGGTTAGTTTTTCGATTGCCTTCCCTTTAGTTGTTAAGGTGCGAAAAAAACAATCGAGAGACCTCGAGCAAAGATATATATATCATGGTGTAGCTGATTGACGAGCGTTCCCTATCGGTCAGTTTTGAACTGAAAGTACCAGTACGATCGGGTAAAACTCAAGATGGTCTAACTCCATGGAAAGCAAAGTGCTTGTCTGATTGTCTGCTTTACTGCTTGTCTTACTTCACTTATCTTCCAGCAGTAAAGAAACGGGTTTAATGTCGAGTTAAAGTAAACCAAGACAACGATTATTCCCCTTAGGATGACCAAATGTGATGAATGTGTTTTACTGTGTGCAACCACGGCTACCACGATAAAGAATGGTGCAAAACAAACAACTAATGCTAACTTCACTCACAGTGCACTATACACTGCTTTTCTGTATTGAGCTATGTTCAGGACATTTAGTTGGCTCGGCTGTTGTTGAACAGGATCTTCTGCCTGAGCCTGATGATATCTGAGAGTGCGAAAAATCTTTGTATGTGATGCGAGTGAAATAACCAGGCAAAGTGGTAGAGTTATACGATGATCAAGAGGAGTGCATAAAGAAGAGACAAGAGATTAACCTAGATGGTAGCTACAATGATATATGTGCGCTTCAAAGTTACAATTTGTTTGTACCTCAGCCCCAACAACAGGGCGAGAAGTCTGTACACGCTTATGGCCGTCATCGTCATCAAAGACGCTAAAAACAATGCAGAGCCCGTGATGTAGGCTGCGTCAAAAGCCAAGGACATCCAATAAGTAGCATTGAGAGGCTGGGCAACAAGATCAACCAACAGATCAGTTGTTGTACCAAACTCCATGGTAATGGAGTTTGTACGGCGGGTGGAGGGAAGATTCCTTGTGAAGGGCAACAAGGATGAGAGAATTTGTAACGAATGGTGTGATGGAGAGAAGAATGTACACTGGTGAGAAAAAAGTAAATCTTTGATGTAATCCACTCGCAAAAGATGGGGTGCATAGCAGTTCTACAAATGTTTTTATCTGTGTTCCACCCCTAGTGAACTTTGTTGTCGACATTGTTCTGTATTCGTTTCCTTTTCCTTGTACTGAGGCAACTGGCAACAAGAAATGTTTCGTCTAAACAGCATACACCGTGCGACGATGACCGAAATTTCCTTCAGTAAACACATAAAGACTTCCTCGTCAGCGTTTGCTCATTCAAAGTGCGTAAACAAATTGTCTGTTGTGCCTAGGATTTGATTTCTTTTTTCCGGAACCTGTGACGAGCCTCTTGTATGAAATAGCAGTAAGAGGCAAATAGAGAGACATCTGTGATATCATTTTTTTCACATGGCGAAAAACTATCTCTTTCTAGCTGATCGACCGTTGGAACCTGTGGGTGGCTCACGGATAAAATAGCAATAAAAGGAAAAAAATAGAGACATCTTTAGTATCAGTATTTTTTGATCAAAATGTGATAAACAATCCCTCAGATTTAAGCTTCTTTTTTATATTTGAATTAATTTACATTTTAATAGTTTGATGCATAAGGAGATGTCACGAATCCAATTTTTTCTTACGTCATTCAAAGTTGCCAGCTTGATCTTCGTAATTTCAGTTTGTCGAGGCCGATAATGATTGAAGTCCTAATTTCACACAGATGATGTGGACATTTGATTAGCTCCCTATCGATGAAAGTTCATAAGGAAAAGTGACCAAAATAGGAACATGAGCTTTAAGAGTCAAACGTACAGACACACATCTTTGATACTATTAGTATTTCACAATTATTTTAAACTCCGTCTTCTCAGGTAAAAAATTCGCCTTTGGCTGAGCAGAGAAGATGGATTCTTACGTTTAATCTTGGAAAAATTTAAATGGCAAGCGTTCTCTATTGGTCAGCTTTGCACTAAAAGTACTTATATCATTATGTATAACTGAAGGATGGTCAAACTCCATGGACAGCAAAGTGCTTGTCGGATTGTCTGCTTCATTGCTCGTCTCACTTCACTAATCTTCCAGCAGTATAGGAACGGGTTTAACGTCGAGTTAAAGTGAACTAAGATAGTTGCCATTGCCAATGCGACGCCTAAGTGTCATGAATATGTTGTAGTATAAGTGACTACAATTCCCACAACAAGGTATGGTGTATAACAGACAACTAATACTAACTGTATCCACAGTGCACTGTGCACTACTTTTCTGTATCGCGCCATGTTGAGTACACTTGGTTGGCTCGGTTGTAGTTGATCATGTTCTTCTCCCTGACGATTTCTAAGAGTACGAAAAATCTTTGTGTACGAGACGAGTGAAATAAGCAGCGAAAGTGGTATCAATATCCGGGTATACAAAGCGGTTATACGCTGATCGAAAATGGTGCATAAAGAGGCGACAAGACATAAAACCCAAAAGCAAGCTATAATAATATAAACACTCTTCAAAGTTACAATCTCTTTGTATTTCAGCCCCGACAACAGGGCGAGAAGTCTGTCCACGCTTATTGCCGCCATCGTCAATAGAGAAACTCCACATAATGCTGATGTAGGTTGCTCTCACTGCGTAATGACAAAGAGTCCAGTGTTCGTGAACCACGGACATCCAGTAGGTAACGTAGAGAGGCTGGGCAGCAAGACCAACCAACAGATCAGTTGTTGCCAGACAGCGATACAAGAGTTTGGACGGCGCATGGAGGGTAGATTCCTTGTGAAGGGCAACAAGTATAAGAGAATTGCTAAGAAATGTTTTGATGGAGAGGAGAATGTTGACTGTTGCGAAAGATGCTGGTTGAAGCCCACCCACCAAAGAGGGGGAGCATACCAGTTCTTCAATTGTTTTTGTCAGTGTTCCACCTCTACTGGACTTTGTTGTCGACATAATTCTGCATTTGTTTCCTCTGTTCTTGCAACGAGAAATATTTCGTCCAACTGAAACCTTCCTTTAATAACACATAAAGACTTCCTCCCTCGCGTTTAATTATTTAAAATGCGTCAGAAATTTGCAGCTGTGGCATGCCTCATGTATGAAACTGATTCTGCTTGATGCCCGCCCACTAAAGAGGGAGAGCATAGCAGTTCTTCAATTGTTTTCGTCTGTGTTCCAACTCTTCTGAAATTTGTTGTAAGTTATCTAAGATTGCAAGGAGTAATATATCGTCTAAACAGCCCACATCCAGCCACGATCAATGACACCTCATACTTCAGCTAATGATATTAATACACACTGAGAATTCTTCATCAGCATTAACTCATTTAAAATACTTCAGGAAATTGACAGTTGCGTCCAATAATGACAACAAGTATGAAATGGCAACAAGTAGAAAATGGAGAGACATCTGTGTATCATTCTTTTAAAAGAATGACGAACAATCTTCTTTTATCTAGATCAACTTTCAATGATAGGGTGTTAACCTGATGTTCATATCATTCGTGTGAATTTCAAACTTGTATCATTAGTAGCCATGAAAAATTAGAAATGAAAATTTCAAGCTGGCGATTTTACTTCGTCTTAGAAAAGTTGGATTTGAGACAATTTGCGAATGAATCAAACAATTCAAATTAAAATTTTGGTCACAGATGCAAAAGTATTTTTAAATGTTTGAATCAATTATAATGATTGGCTTTTTCTTTCCATTTTTCGTCACCGGATTGATATTAAAAACAAAACCGTAACAAGATGTTGTGCCGCGCGCCAACGATTTTTTTCAAACTCGCTCTCTACCAGCTTTTTCACTTTCGTCAGGAAAGTGATGATGATTTTTATTAACAAAAAATTTTTTGCCTATTTTGCCTATTTCGCCCAATGATGTAATTTCTTTTCTTCATCCCTTTGGTCAACAAGATAATAAAAATGGGCGCTAACTGAACATAGAGGAGGCGGAGAAACCATTGTTTTGCACCAGCCATGATGGCCCTACGCGCTCGGTATCATTTTAATCCCAGAGTTCCATCGGGTACCAAAATATTCATTTATTTTTCGTTTGATGCCAATTTTCATGTTCAAACTTTATATTTTCATTTTCGATCTACCATTTTTCTTACAAGTGCAGATATAGTTACTAAACATTCTTAAAACGTAATTTAATCACTGAAAAATGCCATCATTACATCAGTTTCTTTAAAAGGAGTCTTTGTTTCTCAGGAAGCTTCCTTCTAATCCTCTTTGATAATTCACTGTGGCGACGACAGCTTAAAAACTAAACAAGCATATATTTGTCGCAACCAGCTGTTTATTCTAGTAGTTTAAGTTTAATTTAACTTCAAATTAGTATTAAAAGTTAATTCCTTTGGCAAGCGCCCAGACATCGGTAAAATTTTCGATTGACGATATGATAGGGAAACTCTCTTTTGTTAGTTTTAATTTGAATGACAGCATAAGCGGTTTAAGCAGTATATCTAAATATACTGTCATTCTCTTGGGACGCTAATTAAGTGCAAACAATAATTCTGTATCGCAGTAAATTCTGAATTTGAAGGCTAGTTTCATCGATGTTGGGTGTCAATCAAATGTCCATATCATTTGCGAAAATAAGGTTAAGCCATGGCCACAGATGCAAACTTAATTAGTCACATTTTGTGGCCTTTTACCTCCGTCTCGTCTCAGAGAAAACGAAAAATAAAACAGAAGAAAAGCAAGAAATTACTTTTTTTAACAATTTTTTGCTGTTTCTTTTACATTCTCTATTTGTTCTCCTCCTTTCGCCAAAAATTTCAAAGTGATTGTCCAGGAATAATGATAAGATAAAGTTCGCCTAAATGTTTCTCTGCCAACGTTTTCATGTATACAGCAGTGACTGAATTCTTCATGTCAGAATTCCCCTTAGCGATTAGCAGTTCTCCTCCGATAACCAGAGTTATATGACTGTGCTAAAGTGAACATGATAATCTATTGATCGAGAAGGAAAATGAAGGAATAGATACTTAAAAATTATCAAAACTCGATAAAAATATATAATGATTATTTGGCGAAGATGAAGTGAATGATATTATTGTTGAATAATTCCCGAGACGAAGTCTAGTTAAAAACTACTCCTTGTTAAATCTACATAAACAGCATTTATTATTTATGAGCCTATTATCACTCTTGGCTGCGTGTTAAACTACTCCAGCGTATCTTTCAAGCTCTCCAAACTTCCTGTGTGCATCGTATATTAATGACCACTCACTGACGCACGAAGTAATTGTTAAAACTACCCCGTCAAAGATTAGGAAAAATTAGTTAGCCACCATAGACACGCCGCCTCATTTTAAGTTAGAAACAAATTAGTTTTTGCAACATAATTACTCTCTGATCCTCTATGGTAATTCAGTACCTTGATAATTAAACAAGAACATGTTTGTCGCAACCAGCTGTTGATTTCAGTTAATAAAGTTTCAGTCTAATTTCAAATCAGCCCTGAAAGTGAATTCCCTCGGCAAACACAAAGACATGGGTTATATTTTTTGTTTTACAATACGATATGGGACTCCTAGGTCTTAAAAGATCTAATTTATCACTTCTTTTATGGGTGAAATAACCACGTCTTTTTTAGGGCGATAATTAGATGGTATGGTATTGAAACAAATTCTGAGCTCATACAAAAGCTTTGAAAACGACTCAGTAAAAAAAAAATTGTGAAATTTAGGGACAGCAGTTAATCGCTCGGAAATCGAGGATATAAAATCCGTAAAACTCTGAGACAACCTAAAGATACACCAGGGACAAAATGGGAATATGGTGACCTCTATACAAATGATGCGAAACTTGTCGGTTTCCAATATAATTTCAGAACATCGATCGATCTGTAAAAAAATTCTGTAACAAAAAGAGATCGTCAATTTAATTTCATATACTTTCGTAACCTTCAGTTAAATATACAAGTAGCGAAAACCTCTTGACATAAGCTTTACGGATGTTTTTCTGATGACAAAACAAATTCAAGACTAAAACAGGACCGTCTCTTTTGGCAATATGGCGCAACATCAACGTTGAAATAGTTTTCTCGTAACACCCAGCACCAGCTTTAAACAGAGTAGCTAGGGTTACCTAATTTGTTCTCAGAGATTTAAAGACTATCGACAATAGCCCGCGCAACTATTCTATTGAGCTACTTATTTGTTTTTATCCAATAACTTATCTAACGACTGCTCTTCAAATATATTCGTGACTTAATAAGTCTGCTTTAAAAGTCTGAAGAACTCGAGGAAGACCTGACTCAGCAAAGTGTTTCTTTAATTGTCTGCTTCATTGCTTGTCTCACTTCACTCATCTTCCAGCAGTACAGGAACGGGTTTAACCTGGAGTTAAATTAAAGCAAAATAACTGCTACTTTACATATGGCGATTAAGAGTATCTCGTACTTGTGCTTGATGATATCTGAGAGTGCAAAAAATCTTTGTGTACGATGCAAATGATATTACCAGGCAAAATGATATAACTAGGCAGCTGTACAAAAAGATTATAAGGAGATAAAAATTACACTTAAAAAGGCGAAAAGGGTGAAAACCCAAAAGGTAGCTACAACGGTATACGTGCGCTTCAAAGTTACAATTTGTTTGTATCTCAGTCCCAACAACAGGGAAAGAAGTCTGTCCACGCTTATGGCCGTCATCGTCATCAAAGACACTAAAATCAATACATAGTTTGTGATGTAGCCTGCACCCCTTGCGTATCGACAAAGACTGCACTGTTCTTGAACCACGGACATCCAATATGTAGCACTGAGAGGCTGAACAACAAGACCAACCAACAGATCAGTGGTTGCCAGACAGCGATACAGGAGTTTGGACGGCGGATGTAGGGAAGATTTCTTGTGAAGGACAACAAGTATAAGAGAATTTCCAGCGAATGCTGTAATGGAGAGGAGAATGTTAACCGCTAAGAAACAAATTGATAGTTGTTGTTGAAACCCACCCACTAAAGAGGGCGAACATAGCAGTTCTTCAAATGATTTCGTGCGACTTCTACTGCTACTGAAATTTGTTGTCGACATAATTCTGTCTTCGGCGTTTCCCTTTTCTTTTAGGTTTCTGTTCTTGAAACGAAAAATGGCAGCAAGGATTACTGAAGCCTAACTTCCTAAGTAACAATCGCATAAAGACTTACTCATTTACAATGCATCAGGAAATTTTCTGTTGGGTCAAAAAAATTTTTTTTTTCCCGGGAACCTTTGGGTGCCTCTGTTATGAAATTGCAATTAAAGAAAATATAGAAACATCTGATATTTCAGTGTTTTTACAGAGCGACAAAGAGCCGCTCTTTACCAGAATCAAATTCCATTATAATAGGATGCTAGTCAAGGGTCCATATCTTTCGCGTAAAGTGAAGACTTGAATCATTATCAGCTACAGAAAGCCAAAAATGCAAAAGCTCAAGCTGGCGACGTCAACTGTATTAGGAGAAAAATTGAATTCATGACAATCACCGTATGTACTACGTAGACCACACAACTGTTCAAAATTAATGCGCGGCCACACATACAAACTTGTTTCATAAAATATTTGAAAATAACTGTGTATCTAATAGCTTTTTTCTCTCCGTTTTGTTTTTGACGATAGAGATACAGATGATATGGACACTTGATTAGCTCCCTATCAAGGAAAGTTCATAAGGAAAAGTGACTAAAATAGGAACAAATGAGCTTTAAAAGTCAAACGTACAGACAGTAAAAAACCACGTTTTGGGGTAAACCTTGTGTAAATGACCGGCCTTAAATTTTTGATGAAACATACCATTTATTTTGCTGCAACACTTTTCAGTATTGACAGTAAGTTTCCTTCTAACTTATCCGTTAGTTTTATATCAATATAACCCATTGAGTAAACTGTTAATCAAAACAAAAATTTATGAGAGACAACAATAATCGAATTCATTTTAAGCGTGGATCTCAACAAAGTATTACTGACAGTTGAAAAAAAGTGACATTTACAATTTTTTCCCCCAGAAAGTATTGACCATTATATCAAAAAATCGAGGCCATAGTTGGTTTTGTGACCACCACCTATATCAGATGGATGTTGTCACTCAAACATTTTCTTATCATTTGTAATCATAAAAATTATATTAATTCCTGGATTGTGACTGGCTTAAAAAACTCCTGTTTTCCACTAATTCACTTGCCAAATTGTTAGCGGACAGTCCAATAAGCCAATCGCCTTCAAAGCTGTAGTTTAAATCAACCAATCATATTCAAAGTTGTAGTTTAAATCAACCAATTGTGAGTCTTTTAATGCAAATTTTCCATCTTTTTCATAACTTGGTTATTCTTCTTTCCCAGAAATGATAAATTTATGATTAATTGGTGATTAATAATAATTTTAAGAAACAAACGACTTTTTTAAGAGAATTATATTAGGACATTGTAATTTTATGATTAATTGGTCATCATTAGTAATTTGATGATAAATTTAAGCAACAAAATATTTAAGAGAATTCTCTCACTAAGAGCCTGTAATGTTAGACTGTTTCTCATTCGCTTACTTACTAGTTATTTACAATTTATAGAAGTATCATCACACATTGATAAGCATTATGGACTTTTGCGCTCAAAATTACGATTTCTTGTCTTCAACAAGACTTACTTTGAACGGTTCGTACGGCAATATCGAGTCAAAGTCATGCGCTTTATTTCATGCAGCGAGGTTAAAAATTTGAAATTATTTCACCATCCGTAAGAGAAGAACTTAAAAGTCACTCCTTCACTACCCTTTCGGAATCAATTTCATCCTATACATGTACTTTCGTATCACAAAGATAGTAAAACGAGTAAGTAAAATCAAACTAGCATCCAGTTTTTTTGCCCTACTTTGCGTGGACGGTATTTTTTATGTCGATCAAATCATAGGTTGTTGTATTCAAAATAACTGCTGTCGCATGAAACTTACTTGTCCCAAGTATTGCCGTTAGTGATACGACCCTCTGTCCTTTAGCTGTGCGTTCACTTCTCAGGTTAAGTAAGGCCTGGGTCAAAAATGATTTTCGCTTCCAGTGACCCCCCAGCAAGGTTCGCGGAATTCGCGTGGACTGCGCGAGTAACCATAGTTACTTGGAATCAAGATCGCGTAGTTCGTGAACGGCATCCGCCATTTTGAAGTGTCGGCTTTGCATTGGTTTTTCCCATCTTCGCTGGTGAATCCGACAATCTAGAGGAAGACATCAAAAGAAGGTAATAAAATTTTCTTTGCTATCTTCATTTCCTCAAAAAATGGCATGATATCGCTATCTTAAAGCCAAAGAGAACCCTGTTGAACCTACGAAGACTTCTAAACACCGCTCTCAACATGTTCATTGATTTCACTGCAAATACAATGCAACATGAATTTATAATATAGCGCTCATTTCTAGAGCTCAATAGCGTTTCGAAATTTTTGTAACTTATGCATAGAAAAAAGTACTATGTTTTGTAACAAATGCATAGAAAAAAGTTTCATTGTGGATATACCATTCAATTTTGAAATTAAATTTAGCATGATAAATCCTCTATCACATCATGATGTGTAAACTTATGGTGTTTATCAAAATTTAGGCTTTTGAATGCTTTGGAAACAATTTCTCCAAGAAGCAGATGAATTTACTGACAAACGTAATCCCCCAAAGCAGTTGTTAGGTAAGTTTAATTGCTGACATGTAAGATGCAGATTGTCTTGTCATAAATTGTCCCTTGAAAACTAAGAGGAAAAAAGCCGTACTAATGTGTGTTAGTTTATTCTGAGTTCCCTTACTGAATTGCTATAAATATATAATAATAATAATTTTAATTACTCACACAGAAAACCAGCCAGCCCTTGCAGATTCCAAAGGGAATCTACTTGATTAAAACCAGTTTTATTTACTGTTATCCCTATTTGTTTTCTTGAAGAGGTCCTTCCAGTTATTCCACACAACTAATTTATTACAAGCATGTTAATAGTGTTATTTATGAGGCATTTTTTTGGTTTTTAAATCATGTTATGTCAGTTTAAATTATAGTCAACGGTTTGGTTTTTAAGTTTTGACCAGTAATAATTGCAACAATCATTGTCAATGGTGGACTTGTAATTGATATATGTGTCTATTTGAATGTAAATATTCTACCCACTACACCAGTGGAGTATCTTTTAATTCAAATGCATCACGAAAGTTCTGATACATGCATATGATTCTGACCATAGCCTTCTCTGTTTGTTGATAAGACATGATTAATTGCCAGTGCTTACTGTTGCCCCAAGTGGGGCACTGTTTTTTTTTGTGACAAGAGCAAACACAAACTGGTATAAGATGTGTCTTCTTCTTAGCCTTACTCATAAAAGATGTGCCATCTTAAGAGCAGGATAGGTTGCCCTTGTTACAAAGTCAGAAAGGAAAATTTTAAAATTGTATTTCTTGCTTTTTTTGTTTCAAGTCAATATTCCTGTTAGAAGGCTATGGTGGCCTAACTGGTTAAAACTCTGGTTTATAATTTTAAGTTTGATCTGCCGGTTGCTTGCCTAAATTCAATTTCATAGATCAATAATTGGCAGGAATTGGGAAATAAATCGGTACATGTATGTTATCTAGCAGCGATGTAAAATTATAGACATGAGTATGACCTATGAAGTAATTTGTACCTGATGGACCCTAGAGCACCTTATCTGTGCATCATTAAAAATGTCCCTCTGACATTTATTCACAATTCGTAAAGCAGAAGTACAAAATTAGTTTAGACCAAGAGCACACATAAACTTGCTAAAGACATGCACATACATTGTAATTTTAACCTTGCAAAGCCCAATAAAAAGACTCCTGCCGTGACATGGCTAGGGTCACTTTACCTGATTAGAGTGTTAATTATTACTTTCTTAAGCAGAGGTTTCATTAAGATTTTGAGGTGATGGGAAATGTACAAGGAAGCAGGCAAAATATGTTTTGATTCTGATTTATGTCAGTCACAACATGCAGGAAAAATTATGTTCCCAGCCAGTCAATTTGCCCAGTGTCAGGCCCGTGAAACCCCTGCTTAAGCTTATAGTATTCAGTGAGATATTATGGAAGCCAGTGTTGCCATAATGCCTGTTGTTGTTGGTCTTCTTACAGGGCTGGCATCCAAACATTCTTGAGCCATGGAAACCAAAAGTGGAATGTTTTGCTTAACACCTACTTTGAACAGAATTTTTACCAAGGGAAAAAATATCACTAGCTTCATTAATTCTTTGCAGGAGGAAAGGAGCTGTCACATGCTTTTCCAAAATCGATGATGTAGCCATGTTTGTTACTCACAAGAAAATTATTAGCCTTCAAATCACAGTGAAGAAAGCCTTTTGTGTGAATATGTGAAAGGGCTTCTGTCAAATCATGTGAAATAATTAACCAGTCATTTGTTATGAGTGAGCTTTGCACATTCTGTATTGTTGCACTGTTTTTCTGACAAGAGAATAGTTTGCTTATTGTTACAGATGTATTGTCTTCCCCTTTAAACTCCATTATTAAGGAAATGGGCTGCTTTTGAAGCTGCACACCTATTATGGTTGGGATCTTTTTATGTGCGAGTGCCTGCATAATGTGAGCCTCCTTCATTATCTCTGTGGTGTCCTGCATCAGAGACTGTTTTTCCACAACCTTTATATCAAATCGTGTATACTGTCTCAGAAGGCATCGACCATAGGATCCTTCTCCCAGTATTATATTCTCTCCATTGGTTGGAAGAAGTTCAGTATGATTGATTAAGTTTGCAGTGGATTATTTGGTACTTGCATTCCTTTAAAAAACTGGAAAATGAAGGCAAATATATTATACAGAGTGTGCTTAAATAAATGCTAGATTGCAACACAAGTAAAGGTGAAGATTGTTGATCTCATTGTTTGGCATGCAAATTACTGCAAAGTAACTAGAAACATCACTCCTCCTCCAGATGGACTAGACATTAGCATTGGATTTTATTTTTTTCTTGGCGTGCTCTCCCTCGACGCTGCCGCTTTTTCTTAATTGTGTCTTTCTTTTTTTGGAGCTGAAGTTCCTACACTTTTGTTTGTGCTTCAG